CCTCCTCCTCCTCCTCCTCCTCCTCCTCCTCCCTCTCTCTTGCCTGCCGTCGCAGGCGCAGGGGAGGGGGGGGCGGCGGGGCGGCCCGGCGCGCCCGCCGTTCCCCTAGCGGCGCCGGCCCGCGTTCGCGCGCCCGGTTCTGCCTTTGTGCGCGTCGACGCGATCCGCGCGCGTCGGCCTGCGCTCGCTGCCCGCCGCCGTTCGCCGCAGCTGCCGCAGCCTCGCGCCGCCCCGCGCCCGCCGAGGACTCCGGGGGGGTCGGAGGGCACCAGGCCGCCTGCGGCTCCGCTGCGGGGCGCTTCCCGCGCGCGCGGCGCATGCGAGCGAGCGAGGCGGTTTCATCCACTTCCTCCTCCTGCTCCTCCTCCTCCTCCTCCTCGTCCTCCTCCTCCTCGTCGTCTTCGTCCTTCTCCTCCATTCTTTCTCCTTCCAAGTAGCCCTTCCCTGTCGCACCCCGAGGTCGCTCGAAAGGGCGGGCCCAGCGTTTCGCCTGAGATTTCTTCGCAATGTCTGATCCTGCAGCTCAGATTTTGCAGCAGCTTCACGGATGGAGGGCCGGTCGCTTTCAAAATGTGGTTCTCGCCGTAGCGCCGCATACGTTCATTTTAAACAAGTGCAACAGTTTCACGGACGCAGGGCGAGCCGTTTTCAAAAGACGGCTCTCGATCTAGCGCCGCGCACATTCGTTTTAACAAGTTGCTTGATTTGCACAAATGGAGGGCGGGCCGTTTGCAAAATGTGGTTGGCTTTTTTTTCAACATGTTATTTCTCGCCATCATGTTGCGCACATTCAGTTTTTTTGGTGCAGTACTTTCGCGGATGGAGGGCGGGCCCTTTTCAAAATATGGTTCTCGCTTTGGAGCTGCGCACATTCATTTTCAGAGTTTACCGCATGTTCAAAGGTTCTCATGGTTCACGCCCCAAGAGAGGTGTTTTGGCACGATGTCTGATTGTCAGGGCGCAATATTTGCGTTGATTTGTGGTGTTGAAGTTTCAGGAGTGGTGTTCTGGCGCAGTTCAGGATCCTCAAGAGGCAACAGTAATGGCGATAGCGGCGTTGAAAGTCCCAGGAATGGTGTTCTGGCACAGTTCACGATTTTCAAACGGTCGTCTTCCAACGAGTCATTTCCTTCACTGGAAATGAACCCTTGTAGGGACCTCTGAAGACGATACTTGGAGGGAGGGTGTATGTATTGCGTTGATGAGTCTTGGGTTTGCACTGGTCCTCCTCCTCTTCCTCCTTCTCCCTCCTCGTCCTCGTCCATCGTCCTTCTCATTTCGCCTCCTTCTCTTCCTAATCCTTTCCTCCCTCCGCCCCCCTGCTCCTGCTCGTTATCCTTGTCGCCGTCCTCCTCCTCCTCCTCCTCCTCCTCCTCCTTTGCCCTCTCCTCCTCCTCCTCCTCCTCACCCTCCTCCTCCTCCTAATCACGCCGTTTCCTTCTCCTCCTCCTCCCCCTGGGGGGCCTCCCTCGGAAGCCCAGTCCGAGCCAGAACCCCGGGGCACGCGTCGAGCCTGATCCCGGGCACCTTTCAGGGGGCTCGATCCGAGCCGGCATCCAGTGTTTGCCCTATAATGAAAGTCTGTGTTCGTGTTCAGCCTATAGGACCTACAGGACATACACCGTGTGCCCTATATGCCGATGTCGGCTTTGCTTGAACCGTAGCTCTTGTCCCTTCCCCTGCCCATCCCTTGCGCAAATCTCAGTCACATTTGCAGTGGTACGACCACAGCTATGGGCTTAATTAGTTTTGATTTCGTCAGCTGCTGCAGCGACGCCACCAGCAAGGTACCAGGAAAGACCCTGCCACGATCGTCGCAGTCTTCACGCTTGATTGTTCACGATCCGTCTACCCACGTCCATCTCCTTGGCTGCGGCCCTGTCAGCCCGCCTCCCCCTAAGCGGTGCACCGTCCCGTGACCCGCTCTCCCAACGCTTCGACCGTCATTCGCCAATTCTGTCATCTCTCTACTACAATGCAGCGTTCACCGCTCGCCAAAATGGCGAGCAGTGGCAGTGGACCGGCCCCCTCCAGCGGCCACCGGCGCGGCCCCGGGGACAGGCGCGCTTCCAAGATGGCTTAAGAGCGCTCCGAGCCGCCCCCGGAGGCCCCCAAGAGGGCCCGAAGACGGCCGAAGACGGCAAGCCCAAGAAGCATGTCAAGTACATGCGGTTTGGGGCCCTCTTGGGGCCTCCTGGGGGCGCTGTTGCGGCTCTTTTTAGGACTTCGGTCCCCTCCAAGACAGGGCCGGGTGCTTTCTGCCACAGAAAGTCCTCTCGTGGCAGAGTGGTGGGCCCGCGCCCAGCGGCGTCCTGGGGCCCTCTTGGAGCCCTCCTGGAGCTCTCCGGGGGCCCTCTTCGCGCCCTCTGGTATGACCCTCCCAGGGTTCGGCAACCCCCGTCGCCAGTGGCAGCAAACACGGGTACACACTAGCATGCCTTCTCCTCTCTCCCCCGCTTCTTTCTGTTGTCCTCCTCCTCGCTTGCTCCACTCCTCCCTCCCCTCGGCCCCCTCCCTCCGATGGTGCGGGGGGTACCTCCAAATCTGCTACACACACCCCGACGCCAACACTGTCCAATGAATCGGGTTCGCTGTTCGTTGAGTCTATCCTTCCCGTCACTTCCTCGCAATCGCTCGGCGTCTTGTTAAGCGAGGCCCTGGGCGGTTCACTCAAAGTTGGTCCCTCGCCTTCGTCAAAAACTGTCGGGGCGAATCCTGGGCCCCCTGTGTCCCAACACAGCTGGGGCAAACATTTACACTGAGAGCCCCTGACAGTGCAAACGATGAAGCCATCGGGCATGTAAGAGCGAATTGCTCTTGGATGAAGGGGGCAATCCAATACCTTGAGGGTATACTTTTATCCTCCGCTCTTCCCTCCTGACCTTTCCGTTTACCCGGCAGTCTGTGGGCGACCTGCCGGGGCCCCCACGCGGCCTTTTCCAGGTCACCGGCCAGGGGGAGGACGCACTATAGGGAGGACAAATCCTGCCCCCCCTCTACCATTCGACACTGCAAACGTCGCGGTGATCAGCTGCTAGCAGCTCTATCCGGTGAAGTGGGGGCCAAAAGTTCTGCCTCGAAGCCAAGGGACGACCTAGATGATACGAACTTAAGGCATTTTCGTATCAGCCCTCCCCTCCCTCTCCTTCCTTCCTTCTTCCTCCCCCCTTCGGGCCGCATCCCCCGATCTCCCCGCCCCCCTCCCCTCTTCCTTCCCTCCGCCCCTCTCCCTCCACATGAGAGGTGTGGGAATGTGAAGCGAATTGTTCTTGGATCAAGGGCAATCCAATACCTTGGGGGTGCACTCCTAGCCTCCGCTCTTCCCTCTTGGCCTCTCCGCTTGCCCGGTGGGCTGGCGGTGGCCTGCCGGGGCCCCGCGCGGCCTTTTCCAGGTCACCGGCCAGGGGAGGACGCACTGGGGAGAACAGATCCTGCCCCCCTCCACCATTCGACTTCACAAACGTTGGCGGAGATCAGCTGCTAGCAGCTGTCCGGTGAAGGGTGGGCCAAGAGCTCCACCGCGAAGCCACGGGGCGACCTAGACGATGCGGACTTGGGGTATTTTCGTATCAGCCCTCCTTTCCCACTCCTCCCTCTCCTCGTCCTCCCCCCGTATGTCTTTGGACATGATCCTTGCCCCCTCCCCCTTCGCTCCCCTACTGCCCACGCGGTCTGGGAAAGCGGAGCGTGGCTGCCCGCGGGGACGTTTCCCGCGAGACCCCGTTGTCACCGGGACATGGCCGTCGGTGGGTGTGCCTTCCACCTTGGGCTGGCACAGGCGTCTGCTAAAGATTTGCGGAAGGCGCGTGCGAGCCACTACTTATAGGTGCGTTGCACGGTACGTGGTACCGTTTCACGGAAGGTGGGACTTTCCCAATCCCCATCAGCACCGCCTCGATAGGGCGGGTGAGCCTAAGCGCCCCACCCGACGCGCAGGGTTATGCCTACCCTTACGGGCATCTGCATTACACTGCAATCCTTCCCCCCCCCTCCCCTCCCTTGCCATCCTTCCCTCCTTCCCACTTCCTCATCCTCTCTCGTCCTCTCTCCTCCTCTGCGCATGTGAGGGAGGCGCATGCGGGTAGGGAATATGTTGCGC